TCTGAGAACCACACCCGCTATGGGTGCTGTCGCCGACAGAATAATTTTAATTTTGTATTATGCTCATTTTATCATTTTTACTCTAATTTGAAGGTTGAGAGCATTGTCTCATTTTAACATGTGTAGTATGTAAGTTTTAATCTTGAGTTTTCAGTATGCAATTTTGTCTCATTTTGTCAAGTTTTATGCGGTAGTCAGTCCATGTGGTAGTCAGTTCGATTTTCAGTCAATGCAATGTGCTAGAAAGTCTGGAGTTAATTTCTAGTTTTAAGAATATTTTAAGTGATTTCATTTGTGTAGTGAACCTTTTTGACCCTTGTGTGTGATTGGTCAGTCAGTTTTTGGGACTACAACCGTTTACTTATATTTGTGTGTTTGAATGCATAAAACTTCAGAAGCAATCTACCATTTGTACAAGCAACATTAAAACTTTGAACCGGTAGTCGTAATAAAACTTTGTGCTTCTCCACTGCAAAGTGTGGTCAAGTTTCAAATTATTGACATAATTTGCGGTGTGTGAGAAGACTGGGAGGACTTAGTAGGGACCCTGGACTATCACATTTTTGCATTTAACTGGGTGTAGGGAATTGGAAGCCTGCTCAACTTCATCCGCTACAGGTGCGGTTTCCCAATCTTAGATATTGTGTCGAATCCCCATCGTCGAGCTGAGGTAAATAACATATCACATGACATGGTTTCGATAAAATCGAGAAGACGCCGAGGGCCACACCCACTAGGGGTGTGGCATGTGACCATTTGAACACTTCTGGTAGTGCACACGGTTGAGAGGTATTTTTTCGACATGAAGTTCGATTTGTAGTCTTTGAAATTTAGCGGTATTCATTAATTATATTTTATAATTTCTTTGACCTTGTGACCTTAATTTCGAGGGGGTGTGGTAGAATTTAAAAAATCTGGAAATATATATTTCGCCCATTGACCTTAGATTTACAAAACAGTCACAAATTTGAAAATCGGTCAACAATTTAAAAAGTAACCCTTGATAACTTGGTCCCATGCTATAGTGCTTCCCAGCAAATTGGGAATTTTCAAGCCAAGATGAAAAAAATCTTAAAACTGTTTTGGGAAATCGGCTAGGAAGTTTTCAAGACAAAACTTCAGGACCTGAAGAATCGTCAAAGGTCAGACAAAATACTATTGTATTACATACTGGGGGCCCTCATACACAAGAAAAAATCGTCGCTTCGAGTTTCACTTAGTTTTTCGCTTAAGTCCTGATAGGCTAGCTCTGGGGCAAGCGAACAGAAACTCAACTCAGAAGTGGGGTTATTGTCGTTTAGCTGCAGTCGGAACAAAATTTTACAATTTTCTTAATTTTAGCCTTGCTATCGATAAGCGAAATTCGAAGCGACGATTTTTTCATTAATGCAAAGTTTGTCGTGTCAAAATTCATACCCAAACTGATCAGAAATTAAATCAACACTACGTATATACATTTTTGCATATTCATAACCAGCATGAAATTACCAAATGTTTTTGTATGCATAGTCTATAAATCTCACTTCATCATTCACAACATTGCTGGCTATATTAAAAACATTGGAAAAATTCACGTTCGGGTTTAGCTGTTGCCAAATATTTCGCGAAAACGTGAGTTTGCACCGCATGTTCTGTTCGAGTTTAAGTTGGACTAAATTATCTGGCACTAACCAAGCCCTTATTTGTTTACCTCCATTTACCGAGTCATACATAGATGCCGTATGCCAGGATTCACTAAATAAATATTGGTCCAATTGACCACACCCTCGTGAGGTGTGGCTTCCACGTTTAGAAATGTTACTTTTATTGTGATCGTATTGGTCTACCGAGCAAAATGATATGCCGCATGCCATGGTTTACCTATAATGGGGGACACTTATAGCCCCACCCCCTGAGGGGGTGGTTTTTGGATCTCGATGGGCTGTCGATGGACCCTCTTATCTTCCCCATCAAGTCGATATGTCGCATGATGATGTTTACTGAAAATGCAATTAAATGACATCAATTTAAGTCATTACTTATTTAGTTGTGTATGTGACTTGAAAGGGGTGTGGTCGGACCTGTATTCGAAAGTGGCAATTTCCGGCACCAGCATTCATTCTCTATACCAGAAGCTCTCGAATGGTATAAAAAGCAAGTTTGTAAAGCACGGAAATGGACGGAAATCCTAAAGGGCGTTTTTCCCTATCTCCTCAATGTGTTTGGTAAAGTTTACCCCCCTGGTACTCCGGAGTGGGTGTAACTTTTCACTTAATATTATGCATTTAGGACAACATGGTAGTGTAGTCCATAATCGTATATGAGATTACCCAATTCAAAGTACTGCCTTAACGGCCACATTTTTGGTCCCCTGGCCCATAGTGCGAAGGTGTGAAGTTTAACCCTCCTATCTGGATGAAATTTTCAAATTATCTATGTGGTCCAAGTCAATCTGGGCACATTTTGAAAAAAAATATTAAATTTAAACTGTGTGGGAAGTTGACCCGACTTGACCACACCCCCGGTATTGGACAAAGTGAGATTATGGTCAGAATCGAAATCTACTCACAAAATAATATGTAAATACGTCACGTATATAAATTTGTATTTTTGCACATGACCACTCCCACTCGAAGGGGAGTGGTCGGAACTTACAATGATGAACATTTCGAAAACCTTGATGATTTTTCGCAATATACAGATAATGGAAGTAAAACTTTGTAGTGTATGTAATATGACTTAAGATAAGCATTCAGTGACAGCCAACCGTCAACCGTGGTAACTGATTGTTCTGATGTGAAATTGACGGGTCTGGAAATTATTTTTTTCCGGGCCGTGAATTTACAGCTTTTCCTATCTTGAATCCCGTGAATCTACAGCCTTTCAGACCCGTGAATTCACGGGCTAGGCCCCACAGACTTTTAAAAGGCCTAAATTTTTCTCATTATTCTCCTGAGGTAAATCCTATGACATGTATATGTATTCGGAAATCTGGTGGCCCAAGGAACGAGCCTATTTTGTTTGCCAAGTTACACCCTCCGGGGGACGAAGCACACCCCCTGTGGGGGAAATTGAGAATGACCCTTGCATTTTGATAACAAACTATCCCAGATGCTACGAGAAAATTTGAAAACATGTCATAGGATTTACCTCAGGGGAATAATGAGAAAAATTTGGGCGTTTTTAAAGTCTGTGGGCCCGCAAATTCACTGTCTATTTATAAAAGTCCGCAAGTACGTAAAAGGCAAACAGAAATACGCATTTCGTAACTAATTTTGTTTTGGAATGAAATTTCGGAGAGAATTGTAACCCTCCCATCTTTTCTTTCTAAATTACCGGGAAACCGAATTTGTCTGCGATTTTAACCGGTTTTGAAAACTCTTTGGAAAATAATCACTAAACATTTTGGGAACTTGGGTATGAACGGCACATTAATTTGCAATGGGAGAAACATATTTCGCAAGTGGGCTGACATATATTTAGGTTAAACTTTGCGTTAAGAAGTAGTATAAGATTCATGAAAAATTTTCATTAAGTATGGAATATAATGATTCGCTAAAATCTAAAATGCGTTCATGATTGTCCGTACTCTTGAAAATATGTTGCGCTTTTGAAAAGTGCGTGCTCTCTGAATTCTAAATTAAGTGAAATATGTATACTAAATCCAGCGTAAATTTTACTCTTTATCAAGTTAACGTTAAAGATTCATATGGAGTTGAGAGTCAGTCCATTTATTTTCAAAAGGGTAACATTTTTTTGAGAGTGTACAATTATATTTAATTGGTTGGTAGATATATGTAGAACAGTTGTGTAATTAGTGGTTTGGATAAATTTAATCAAGAAGGTTCCCATTATAAAGGACCAGTATACATATTGTTGAGATTCATGTAAAATTAACTCAGTTTCATAAGTTTGTACGTGACTAGACCCTTCTTACCTTCGGTTTAATTTTATCATTCTTAGTATCGACTTATCTATTTCTGACTAAATATTATTTTTATCTTTTCCTTTTAAGTTCAAAACTAACCTTTTTGTATGCATTAATTAACACAGCGAGTCAATGTCAAGTATGTACATGCCTTAAGGGTCATTATTCAATTCTATTTATGTGATACCTCAATTCAATTTTGTAAAATAATCATGCAGTGTAACTCAAGTACTCACTCAAGCCAGACATTAAATTGTGGTACAGCAAAAATATTTCTAAGTCTCACTCTGCCTCATTGTCACACACTTACGCCCACAATTATCCATCGTCTTCAAGTCACATAAAAGCACAAGTCCATACCATCACGATTTTAAAAACTAAACTCACACAAACCCTTTAAAAATTGGAAACAACATCCCCAACATTTTTTGGTCTCTAGCGAACCGGATCGTCTCATAAAAGTGTGAAAAAGTTCAGTTTTGTCGGTGCTTTGAAAGTAAAGCCCATTTTCGCAGTGAGCTGATGGACGGAGGTCCGGAATCGGCCTAGCCTCTGCAGGTGCGGATTGGTCCCCAGCAGCTACTCAAAATGGCACCCACAGCACTGGAAAAAGCGGTCTACGACAGGACAAGCACTGCTGACATTTTGGACTACTTGACAGTGGAATTAAAAACTCATGCAACAACTCCACTTGTCGAGTCCAAAGTGGACCATCTCATAAGTATGGCGAAAACATCCCAGACGGATATCCTGGATATTCACAAAAGGATTCAGATTTGTGCGCCACCAGATATGTCACCCCATCAGCAAGAATTTCAGAAACTTCTTGGCAAGTCGATGGATTTGCTCTCTGCTTTCGCCGGAGTCAAGCTTCCCCACCAGCTCAGGTGCAAAATCTACAGCCTCACCTCATCCAGACATCAGACTACCCCGTTTGGAACTCCCAACTTTCGATGGAACCTTGAACGATTGGGTCTCATTTCGGGACTTATTCGTCAGTGCGGTCCACAATAATGCATCGCTCAGTAAGTCACAAAAACTCACTTATCTTAAGGCTCAGCTTAAGGGCGAAGCAGCCAGGCTCATCTCAAGCATGATCATTAGTGATGGCAATTACGACATTGCCTGGGCACAACTTCAGGATCGTTATCAAAACGAGAGGGAGTTACTCTTCGCCATTCTTCGCCGGCTTCTTAACCAGCCCCAAGTTCAATCTCATTCATCCGTATCAATTCGGAAACTTGTTGATGTTTCCCAAGAGTGCATCAGGTCGCTGGAAGTGCTCAGTCTCCCCACGAACGAATGGGATGCAATACTCTTGTTCATCGTCATAACCAAGATGGACTCATCTTCGAAGGAGTTGTGGGAACAGTCCCTAAAAGATGGCACCATCCCCAAGCTCAAGTCCCTCTTTGAATTTCTGGAACAAAGGGCTCGTGCCCTTTCTGCAAGTGGTAACGAGACCACGCATAAAAATCAAAAGTCTGGCAGCAACTCTTCTCAAGCCAAGGTAACTCGGAGTCATTCTCACCCTGTCGTACACCATTCGTCCTCATCCTCACCATCCTCATCAGCTTGCAAGGCCTGTGATCAATCAGGCCATTATCTGTTTCGTTGCGACAAGTTCCTCGAGTGGTCCATTCCGCAGAGAGTGGATTTCGTACGCAAAGGGAACCTGTGTTTCAATTGTTTGCAAGGATCTCACAGGGCCAACGAATGTCCTTCCAACAAAGCATGCAAGACGTGCGGTGCCAAGCATCATACCCTCCTGCATTTACAAACCCAAGTCAACAACAATCGAAATGTTCACCCGCCCGTGGTCCACTTCACAGCAAAATCAAGCCCAGTCCCCAATGAGTACGATACTCTGCTGGCAACGGTGTTAGTCAAGGTGACTGACGACCATGGTAAGATCCACACATTGCGTGTTCTCGCCGACAATGGGAGCAACAGCAATTTCATTACGGATTCTTGTATCAAGCGGATTGGTATCCAAAAGAAACGATGCTTCACCTCTGCAACCGGTTTGGGAGGAGCAGCGTTGGTGAACTCTACTGGTGTCACTTCTTTCTCTGTGAGTTCACGCTTCGACTCATCCGTTTCCTTCTTTCTCGCTAGGTGTCTCGTCACAAAGAAGATCACTGGCAAGATTCCATCATCGGCATTTGACCATACCAAGTGGCCTCATCTCCAGGGGCTGCTGCTAGCAGACCCGGGCTACCATAGTCCTCAAGACGTGGACATGTTACTGGGGGCGGAATTCTTCTTCGCTATACTTGACAGTGGAAAGATAAGCGGTCCTCCCACTAGTCCTGTCGCTATAAAAACTAGCTTCGGTTGGCTTATTGGTGGTGGCTCTGCGAATCCACTCCTAACCCCCTCAGTACATACAATCATCGACAACGCCACAACTACGTCATCATCAGCCAGTGATCTTGACGACCACCTCGACACAACGCCACGTAGATTTTGGGAGATAGAAAGTGAACCACTTCATCGTCTTCACAGCCAAGAGGAAGTGTCAATAGAGTCTCATTTTGCCTCTACAAATAGTCGGGACCATGAAGGAAGATTTATGGTTCAGCTACCATTCAGAACCCCTCGACTTACTCTCGGGTCATCCCTCAACATCGCCATGAAGAGACTTCTCTATCTGGAGAGGGGGCTACAAAGAAATCAGAATGCGCGCACCGAGTACAACAAATTTATGCAGGAGTACGAAGCATTAGGACATATGGAGAAAGTAACTGCAAAAAAAGAAAGTCCAAATCAAGTTTGTTATCTCCCTCATCAATTTGTTTTAAAAGAGTCCAGCTCCACAACAAAGTTTCGGGTGGTATTCGATGCATCCGCCAAGACTGCCAATGGAGTTTCACTGAATGATTGCCTTATGGTAGGTCCTACAATTCAGGACTCACTTGTGGACATTATTTCTCGTTTCAGGCTCCATAAAATTGCCTTTGCTGCGGACATCGCGAAGATGTACAGACAGATCCGTGTTTCACCAGCAGATGCAGATATGCAACGAATTCTCTGGAGGGAGGATCCGTCTAAGCCCGTGCAACACTACAGCCTTTCTACCGTAACGTATGGAACAGCGTCAGCTTCATTCTTGGCAACTCGTTCGCTAAAGGAACTTGTAATTCAAAATAAAGCCAAATTTCCCCGTGCCGCAGAAGTCGTCCTTCGATATTCTTACATGGATGATGACCTGTCTGGGGAGCCAAGTTTGCCAGAAGCTCTAGAAACTGTGCAACAACTACTACAACTTATGAAAGACGATTGTCTCGAACTGCGGAAGTGGTCCTCAAACTGTCAAGCATTATTGGATGCATTGCCCCCTGAATTGAGAGAGACTAGTTCACTTCTTTCATTGGATCAAGATTCAACAATCAAGACCTTAGGCATTTATTGGAATACGAAGAGTGATCAATTCTTCTTCCGGATTAGCCCTCAACCCCCTCGAACAGCACCTCTAACAAAGCGGATAGTTCTTCAAGAAATTGCCCGCTTGTATGACCCTAGTGGCTGGCTTGCTCCCATCGTCATCACTGCAAAAATCTTTATGCAGTCACTTTGGAAAGTGCAACAAGGTTGGGATGATCCACTCTCTTCACATTTGCAGAACGAATGGATCAACTTCCGTAAAGATTTGGAAAGTCTGTCAAATTTAACTATTGATCGTTTCTACATGGAAGGGTCCCGATTAACTTGTCCAAGTCTGAACGCTCCCATTCTCGGTCTCACCCCTAAGTTTTGCCTCGCAGGATTCTGTGACGCCTCTCAGAAATCCTATGCTGCCGCAGTGTACCTGTGCGTATACTATAATGGATCAAGTTCAACCTCTCTCGTCTCATCCAAAACTCGAATTGCTCCAGTCAAGGTCATCACGTTGCCAAGGCTTGAGCTATGTGGGGCGGATATTCTAGCCGACCTCCTCATTTCATTCCGAGCCGCACTTCGAATCCCCATACATTCCATGACCGCCTGGACGGATTCCACTTGTGCTCTCGCGTGGATTCAGTCGCCACCAGCAAGGTGGAAAACTTTCATTGCAAATCGGGTCACCAAGATCCAAGAAAAAATTCCTCCGACTATGTGGGGACACGTACGAGGAGAGGAGAACCCTGCGGATTGCCCATCCAGAGGGATATCATCTGCAGAACTTATCACTCATCCATTGTGGTGGCATGGACCATAATGGCTGAAGAAGGGTGTCCCGGTTCCTATAAATTGCCATGACCCAGTCCCCTCAGAAGCGCTACTGGAAGAGAAGAAAGTGATAACATTCCATGCTATCACAAAAACCAATCAATTCCTACTTGATCGCCACTCGTCGTTGATCCGGGTTACAGCGTACGTCTTACGTTTCATCAACTCATTCACACTCTACAAGACGAAACACTTGGTCGCCCCCTCTAAATCAACATTAACAAAGCTCATCCCGTTCTCTATCGACGCCTTTCCCTATTCTGGTACATCACAACAACAAAAAAGTGGTCAAGTCATCTCCTCAACGGCGGCTGTGAATCCACTATCAATTTCCGAGCTGGATTGTGCTCAGAAATATTGGATCAGAATTACTCAACAGCAAGAGTTCCAGAAGGAGATCCATGCACTCGTCCATGGTTTGCCTATTGACTCTAAAAGCAAAATTCTCTCTTTGTCTCCCTATTTAGACCCCGAAGGGATTCTCAAAGTTGGTGGCCGATTGAGAATTTCTGAGCTTCCGATGGACCAGAAACATCCTACTATTCTTCCAATCCACAGCAGATTGACTCAGTTGTTAATTGAGGATACCCATACACGTAACTTTCATGCTGGCCCTCAGCTCATGATATCCATTCTGCGACGACGATACTGGATAATCCGAGTGAAAGATGCGATTCGACATGGCATCTCTAAGTGTACCATATGCACAAAGCTCAAGGCCCAGACTCTACAACAAATGATGGCAAGTCTCCCCTCATTCAGGGTCAAACCAGCTCGACCCTTCCTCAAAACCGGCATCGACTATGCTGGTCCATTCCAAATCCGTCCAATTCAGCCACGGAGCAAACTCACAATCAAGGCTTATCTGCTGCACCACTCGTGCTCTACATCTCGAGGTGGTCAGTAGCCTTTCGACCGACGCGTTCTTGGCCACATTGCGAAGGTTCATATCTCGGAGAGGACGCCCCACTGACCTCTATAGCGACAACGGAACCAACTTCGTTGGAGCTGATCGAGAGTAGAAGGACATGATGAAATTATTTGTGTCTCAACCGCACAATTCTCTTGTCGCCAATGAAATGTCTGCACTCGGGACAAATTGGCATTATAATCCGGCTGCTAGTCCCCACTTCGGAGGACTCTGGGAGGCGGGCGTTAAGTCCATTAAGTACCATTTGCGCCGCATCATGGGAACGCAACGCTTGACTTTTGAGGAATTGACCACGGTGACTAGTCAAATCGAGGCGATTCTTAATTCTCGTCCCCTCACTCCAGAATCCACACGTCCAGACGATCTCAACGCCCTCACTCCAGGTCACTTCCTCATTGGAGCCCCACTGAATGCCATTCCAGAACCCACCTTGGAGCATCTCAATACCAATCATTTGTCCAGATGGCAACTACTCCAACAAATGGTCCAGTCCTTTTGGAAAAGGTGGTCCAACGAGTGTCTTTTTTGTCCGGCGTTTCCACTCCGCCCCTCGAGGAACGGGAGGAACTTAAAGTTGGAAAAATCACATCCGTCTGCGCTTTTTAGCTCAAAGGCGGGTCAATATTTTTGAAAACAGATATCGCGTAAAGTTTCCTAATTTTTCGAGTGTTTTTTTGAGTGTTCCTCCAAGCTTATACAAGGTAAGTTACCTTATATAAGCTGACTTGTTGTTTGTGTGATGCAAACAGCAAATTTACTCAAATAAAAACTACATGCTTGAAGTAATGTCATAATTACAAGATATATGTATGTACTTGCAGAGCTTCACTCTAAAAAGTGCTATTACGATTATCTTCAGAAGGCATATGTACATAGTGTATTAATAATTAGATAATGCGAGCTCGATACTATGTTCTAAAAGCAATGTGCTTGATTTGTCCCGTACCTGGAGCTGAATTCAGTATACGATTTGAGTTAACTTGGTTAAGACCGTTTTCTTTGGTATGAGTAGTTTAGCTCGCATTTGCGAACCGTATTTAGGTATATGCCTGTCGGTAAATCTCAACCTGCCCCTATTTGTACGGGAGCCAAAAAAGCAGATACATACATATGTACACGCACATGAAGTGGCTATTCTTCAGTTGATACGAATCCGGCCTAACTGTTGCACTTTAACGCCTAGTTATGGTACATACACGGGACGGAATGCAGGGAGTAGGAAGCATACATCCTAGTAGGTTAACTCAAATACACTTGTACGGATTATTTATAAGTTGATTATTGATAAGCTTTTGAATTTCAAACTTAACTTCAAAAATTTAAAAATACACCGTAATAAGTTAATGCGAGGTTAATTTAAGCGAGGAGAGGGCTCGACGACTGTCTTCAGCCATCAGCGGTAGCACATTACGTATAAAGGCTAATTTCTCACCGGCTTTACTCGAATTCTAAATATTCTTATATCCGTATGACAATTCCGGACAAGAGTATGCAGACGGACAAACAATATGCGTAACCCTTTTAAAATACTCATCCTTCTTGCGAATATAGCCTCAAACAGAAACACCACATCACAAAAACCTAACGCAACCGCCAGTATGACAAAAATCGTAAGAATATTCAGTTGCTGTTCGACAAATTTATCTTCTCGCATTTTCACTTTTCTCACAATTGTATGCAGATGAATGATCAAGTCTTGCCAAAACTGGTATAACCCGCCCTCCACGAGTTTCGAAATTCGGCCTCGCAATGCTTCACTTATCGCGCCCCATTTTCCAATTTTTATGTACGACTTTTTTGAATAACCAGTTTCAGTACTTTCCATGTACGGTTTCCTATTTAAGTGTGAACTCTCCCCGCCCAAAATACTCAGCAAATACCCTTTTGACTTGATGTAAATTATGGGTGAGACAAAAACAGTTTTGTCACATTGTCCGACAATCTCGGAAATCAAAGAATTATTAACGGCTTGCGATACCCTTGCAATTCGTCCAACCTCATACCCATTGAATTCCCGTTGGACCTGCTCGATCAGGTTGTGATTTTTCAATAGCAACAAATCTGATTTATCATTTTCACAAGCAGCTTGGTAAACTTTGCCGAGACCCCGATTTTTATCAGTCAGGCAGCCTTGTGTGAAGAGTGCGTCAGTAATTGCTCCTAGTTGCCAAGATAATGTATTCCTCCATTCTGAATACTGCGGATAAATTTCTGAATCAAATTCGCCCTATCCAACTCGCAACGTCGTCATCGTTTATGGTATGAGAAATTTGTACGCAGATTTCGTAATGGGACTGCTCCATACGCGGAACCCACCGTTAATGACCTGTGAAAACGTTCTAGGCGGGCTCGACACCAGTGGCGCAGTGGTGTCCTCGGTAACGATACTCTTGAAAGTATTCACCAACACGAAGGTCACCATTGCCCATAGGATGAGAAGTTTCCTCGAAGTTAGGTCTTTGAACATTACCTGCAAGGACGGACTAGATCCTTCAAGGGCTGTAAGGATTAAATCTATCCAAGCCTTAAGAATTCCGTAGGTTAGTTCACCCCAACTATATTTCGCGTAATTCTGACTAAAAAGCACGATGGTTAACAAAACACATGAACCCATTAAGGTTAACCAAACTGAGCCCACGAATGGCTTTGTATATCCCCAGTAGTCTAATCGACCGTGGCTTAAGGATGAGCACGTGACGAAGGAAAAAGACAAGTTCCCAATTAGAATCAGAGACTTGTGCACGACATCAGAAACTTCATGTCCTGTATATAGTGGGTCGCCGTTATAGTAATTTATTTCTACATGCTTATCGTAGGATGAATTTCCATCCAAACTAGTCATGTGTCCAATGGCCACGCTTAGCGCGTGTGTAAGTGAATAATTTTTGACGAACTTGACAACTTCATAAAAGTTACGTAATTTACTTTGGGTTATATAGTAAGACAAGTAGAGCCACAATTTAGATCTTACTAACTTCTTGCAGTTTGCAGCGAGGGGCACCAACTCTGTAGTCTCAATCAATCCTAGATGCGCACAATGTGAGGTAAAATTACTCTCAATAAGATAACTACTGATGGACTGTTTGTCAATAGTTTTCACAATTTGAAACCTCAATATAATTGGTTGTAGGAAAATGTTATTAATACTATCGGTGGTGCCTCGGATTGTAGGAATATCACCAAAAATTGCTATCATTGCAGAGTAAAAGTAGGAAAAACATTTGGGTCGATGTTTCGTGTTCCAGTTTGTATGTAGTTTTTGGATATCTGGATTACTCCCCCAGCCTATAGCGCTGGCGACAAGAGTCTTGTACTCAAGAGCTAACTGGGGCGTGAAGATTATGACGTAGATCAGACAGCCAGGTGTTCGGTGGGAACGAAATATAGGATCTATTGGTTGGACGAGTAGATTTGGTTGGGTCGGTTCGGGTCTGAAATTGTTTTGAATGAGTGATTTATAAACGGGTTAACTATATATTTAAGGCAATATCGGTTGCTCACCCGTTATGACAGGATACACAGTATTTGCTTAGTTGGTATGGCGTTTTTATACTCGATGGGAAATGAAAATCTCCAAAATAGGAAACGCTAAATTGGCAAGATGGACTGAGTGAGTTTACCTTGTCTCCAAAATCTTGAATTTCGTAAAATTCTTCATGAGATAAGAAAGATGCTGAGAATTTGATATTACAAATGTGTACAATTATTCTTAGCAGAAGACCCATGTCTGCAAAGATACGAAGACCTCAACTTGTGCTTCCGATTCGACAGAGAAGTATTTTCAGATCGAAGGGTAAAGCTTCGCATCGCAGGTTGCCATTCTCAGATCCGCTGAATATGTTTTTGTATGCGGGAAGCAAGTCTTATGTTTCTGAATATTTTTCAAACTTTCTTGCTCAGGGGTTTAACTTCTTGGAACCAAATTTAAAACAAGTCCAAATGTGCAAACTGGCGAATCAAATGGTTAATAGTGAATGCCTTATTCTTTTCAATAAGGTGATTTCTCAAACTAATACTCGCTTATCTACATTCTACATGAAGCAGATATGGGTTGGGCTTAGTTGCTACGAGAAAGTTCACTAAGCCATGTTTTAAAAGTAACTTAACAGTTCCACATGAGACAATTAATTCGGAACCGGCGAAAATATAATAATAATAATAATGATAAGCATTTATCTATTATCCTCATTTACTAATATGTACTAGTGATTACAAAATTCGGGCTTAATAATAAGAAACATGTTAGATACATGAGGAGCCATGGACATATAACTTATAGCTTAAAGTTATGACGTGTAACTTATTTTATACGTTATAAATCATAGAAACGCCATAAGGCGACGTATATTTATAATTATAAGTTATACGTCATGATCTAAGTTATATGTCCATGGCTGCCCCATGTATCTATTATCCAAGATTTTCGTAAAACGAGCTAGAACTGTTTCCATGAGCTTACAATACCAAGGCTAAATAATTAATCTTATCCACTCTAAAATTACCTAACTAATTTACTCAATATGTTTGGGATTTCGAAGACTTACAATTGTTTCTAGTTTATAGTCATAAATTATTTGAGATTTTTTATACTCTTAATTTTATCAATAATTGTATTAATCGTGGACCTTTGGTGGAAGGAATTTTTATATATGGTTTAACAAAAATAGCTTCTTGTGACATCAATGACCTCAAATTTTGGTTTATTCCACACCCACGGGAATTCCTTCATAGGATTACGTTGTTGGGGTTATGCAGCTTTTAAAATGCATGCTACCAAATCCGTTTATAATTCTGGTCAATATTTGAAAATGCATCCTTCTACCGAATTGAAGCCAATTGACTAGGCTTCACTAATCACACAAACAAGAAATTTGTCACAATTATGTTTGATCAACCAAAAATGCTTGGAGAAATTTGTGGTCATCAACGGACCCATCTCTACATCCTAAAAGCAAATTTTCCATGCATTTAGATCATAAGGACGTAATTTATGAATTAAACAAAATCTCTCAAATACGGCTTAATTTTTCAAGCCTAGAATGAGTTTGGGGTATATTTTGGAACCCTACAAATCAGTCTTTGACTACGGGTACCTGCAAGA